ATCTTTTGTATATGCAAGCATGACAAAGCGGTAAGTATAATATGTTTTAACATTTTATAAATATATTACAAAATTGTGACATCAATGTTTATAGAATAAACTTCTCATGTAAAATTTTTGCATATAAAATATAATAATCTGATTTTTATACAAAAATTAAAACTAGAAAAAAAAATAGCATATTTTAAAGTTATTAATTTACTTTAAATATTGTCTGTCTAAATTTCCAGAATTGTTTCATTTATTTGATATCTTATCTGTTATATGGTGTTTATTTATTAGACATTTATAAACATCATATGTTATTTATACAAACTATTTATTTACATACAGCAAAACGTCTTGCTGTTCGTAAAATGGTTATTCTGTCTGCCTAAATATTCTAGGTTATGATAACATCCAATAGTGTATTTCATATAAGTCATTTTTGTGGAACATATTTTCAAAATATTTTATTTGGAAAAACATTTGACACAACCTGTCTCCTTTTAATTACCAAGTTTTAGGTTCAGGTGATCATTCTAAACTGTTATTCCATTAGAAATGTCATCTGCGTACACTGTAAGAGATATGCCCTGTCTTTGCATGTTCATCAGAGATGTACTTTTCAGTACAGCATGTCCATGACAGAGGCTGGAAGCTGGCCTAGCTCGTGTCTCACTCTTGGATCTGCCTGATCCCTGGTGCCCTGCTGCTCTGCCACGTCAAGGATCTGTGTGAAGAGCTGCAGCGTCTCCATGCTATTCAACTCCCTCTCTTGGGGAGAAAGGCTTGCTGAATTGTAGGTGCTGCTGAGTCTATTACCGCCTTCCAAGGAACCTGATAAGCACAGATGAGAGACTGTAAGCATCCAGCAAATACTGTATGGTCTCCTAGCACAAAATGAATTGGCAGCAGCCCAAAATATTCTTTGCTTTGGGGGGTGTGGAAAACAATGGGAAGTCATCACATTAATTTTAATTTCATGATTAGTAGTTTTATTGTTTAGCCCACTTCGGTAGTTCCAAAAATATAAAACTGGTTGCTAATCTTAACAGTTCAGGTAGTTTGCAGAGTAAATGATAAATGTTTAGGTGACCTGTTTGGAGGCCACCTTTGTTTAACCACTGATTATGACAAGAGAACATAATAAGGGAATTCTATTTCTTCGTACTGACTTTTTATTTTAAAGATGTACTCACTGGGTTGTACTGGCATGTGATAGTGTGGGGTACCGTCTCTGCTGGAGCCATGTCAAGAAAGCCTGGTCCAGGGCTGCAGGATTGAACTGCATGAGATACTCGACATCACGATTCCAGCGGTAAGCAGGATGTACGTTAGTGTACAGTGAGGGGTGGTTAACGTGAGCACCACCAGCAGGTCCTACACTAGAGACAGACATCTGGGGCATAACACTATTATTTAAGGGTGCTTCTGGTGATCTACCCTGTGGAGACTGCTAAACAGGCAAGGAAGGAAACAACCCATCATTAGGTTTTAGTCTGAGAAATAAGACATGGTTTGTGCTGCACCGGAATGTGCAATGGGGTTGAAGAGAAGTTTAAAGCTGCAATGGTGGAAGTTTTAGCATTACGATCATTCCGAGTGTAGGACACAGATATTTTTTCAGGGCATTTAATGTTTTTCGCCAAAATACTGGTTCCTAATTTTGAGCAGTGTATTTGGTCTCTAAACGTTTTTCTTTGGTGCACCGGATGGGGAAGGACGTGGAGGAGAAATCTGGATGTAGGGATTGAGGAGAAACATTTATAGCTGAGAGAGCAGGAGATGGATGCAGAGGGAGGGAGAGAGAGAGAGAGAGAGAGAGAGAGAGAGAGAGAGAGAGAGAGAGAGAGAGAGAGAGAGAGAGAGAGAGAAACAGGAAAGCCACTATTATTCGTCACCATATTTTATTTCCATATGAAAGGTTTGACTGACTGACTGATTTTCTACCCCACTTGGACATCACACAAGCGATAAACACCCGATGACACAAAATGCCAACATGTGGAAGAGGATTGCCATGGAGAGGTCCCAGAAACCGCGTTCAGATAATTGGCCATATTTATGGCCTGCCTATATTGCGGCCCCTGGCAAAAGCCAGGGTGGGGCTTCAAATAACAACAAATTTCGTCCTAAAAAGAATGAAAAACCTTTTAAATATGAAAGGCTGAATGAATGAATGACTTTCTACCCCACCAGGACATCACACAAGCGATAAACACCCGATGATGACACAAAGTGCCACCATATGGATGAGGATCACCATGGAGAGGTCCCAGAAACACTGTTCAGACAATTGGCCATATTTATGGCCTGCCTATATTGCGGCCCCTGGCAAAAGCCAGGGTGAGGCTTAAAAAAACAAAAAAAATTTGTCCTGAAAAGGACGTAAGGATTTATGCAAGAAATGAAAGGTTGACTGACTGACTGACTTTCTACCCCACCAAGACATCACACAAGCGATAAACACCCGATGACACAAAGTGCCACCATGTGGATGAGGATCACCGTGGAGAGGTCCCAGAAACCGCGTTCAGACAATTGGCCATATTGATGGCCTGCCTATATTGCGGCCCCTGGCAAAAGCCAGGGTGGGGCTTCAAATAACAAAAAAATTACGTCCTAAGAAGGACGTAAATAAGATTACTACCTGTGCCAGGTAAGTATAATGAAAGGTTATGGTCGACTTTGTTTTTCCTAAAAAAGTTCTCTACGGATATCTGCTTGGTGGTCGTACAATACATCGAAGACAGGGCTTCAGCTTTACTGCAAGTTTTTTATTTTGATAGTTGGATAACTGCACTCCCCAGCTTGTTGTTGAGCTGTGAAACTTTAAATGGTTTCTTCCATGAAATGTGACTAGGAAAATATGTTCCGACTCTTACAGAAGAAAACATTTAGTAATAAATAGGTTACTTCCCCTAGCAGAAAATGAGTAGTGGTTGATATATTCAATTAGTTGCGCGTCTTCTACACTCAGGGCTTTCAGACCTAACCCTGGCAATTTTGTGGGGGTCAGTTTGTGATTTCACTATGTAATTGTATGTTTAGTAATTTTCTGTCATTGAAGAACAAGTAAATACATGGGATGAAAGTAAAATGCATTCAAAAACAAATATCTAAGGAAAATGATGAAAATAAAATGGGATGAATTCAAAAGGCATGAAGAAAAAATAAAAGAGAAATGTCAGTATCAACAGTTATAAGACAGAGAAGATAGCGCTACGTTGGACACATGCTGAGAAGACACCAGTGCAGAATCACTAAACATACATTAAAACTAGAAATAAAGGGATTAAGGAGGCGAGATCGCCCAAAGGAAACCATAAGACAAACGTTGATAAGAAAGACCAAAGCTGCTGGACTGAATTCTATCAACGATATTGAACTGATCGCACAAGATAGAACGGAATGGAGGAATAGACCGCTAGCCCTATGTGACATATAATGACACAACATGATAGTGAATCAATTTATTCTCTATCTGTTGATTTTTGGAAGGTCAGCTTTAGATACCATTACTGAAACTACCACACCGCGGTGCGCCCCTAATCTCCCGCAACTATAATTAAACCAATCCCCACGGAATTACGAAGCACGCTCGCAACTTTTGAGCTAGTCTACACGCACGCACGCACACACACACACACGGACACGGATAGGGAATGGATAACGGTTGAGAACTTGGCTTATGTTGACCGTTCTCGTCGCCGCTTCTCCTCCAGTTTTGATGTTGCAAGATTGTGGAAGTCCGGTTTGCAGCCGGAGCTACTAAGTTTAGTGCTCCTGGCGGCACTATGAGCTGTGATTATTGGTTATTGACTGAGTTCAAGATTGGTACATAGTGGCAATGATGGGTGAAGTATTTTCTTTGTTGTGTTTCTGGGACAAGGTGTGTGCTACAGGTGCTATTTATTTGTTGGCTGTGGCTGCAACTTGGCCCAGGACGTGTGGAGAATGGTCAGGAATAGATTTAATCTGCTCATCGCTCAGCCATTCGTTGAATGAAGTTGATTTTCAGCGATGACGCCTGGTCTCGCGGTGTGTTTAAGGAGGCATGCACCTTTTGTTTTGCTGACACTGTATAGCTACGGCATGCACTTGAAGTATCCAGCGTATCTGACTCAGTTTGTGACTGGAATCACTGGCATAGGCGGTTGAGCAATTATGGGCCAAGCTCGTTTGCTGTGATGCCGGAACCGTAACGACTAACTAACTAACTAACACACACACACACACACACACACACACATATATACACACACACACATGCATAATATATACATACATACAGGGCCCTGTTCACGCCTTTTGTACACTGGGCAGTTAATTCTATACATATTTATTTACAATCTGCCACATGAGGGTGATGTGATCACTTTTACTTCCAATGAAATTTCCTGGCACTAATTTTTAGACTAGGTATACATAGGAGAGGATTTAACTCAACAACACCCCCCCCCCCCCCCCCCCCCCCAGTTCGTTAGGTGCGTTGAACCTAAGACTTTCAGGCCAGCAGGTGTTATTGCCACCACGCTACGGTGGCTTCATTGCAAAGCAAGAGTGATTGTAAAATTTCAACAACTTAATATATGTACATACGCCAGTGTAAGGTGGAGGAGGAGGAGGAGCAGAAGAAGAGGAATTTTAGACTAGGTGTGTATTACTAGGTAATTTATCTGTTTGTTTTCCTCTTTTCACCTTAACAAGTGTCCTAGTTGCTTCTTCACTAGAATTCTAAACCAAATCTCCCTAATGAAAAGCGTGTAACAAAGCAAATAAATGAAAAGTAAAAGTAAAATAAATTTAAGTTCCCTTTTTCACGCCTTTAGGCGCATCGGGCATATGGGAAGAGCACCCATATTTTTACAGACCAATCGGTACTAGGTGAGTTATGTGGTCAACATTACGCCGGCATTCTTTACTTCCCCGGGCGGATAAATAATACTGAATATTAAAAACATATTTTAAAAAAAAAACATTTTTACAGTACATGGTTTATACAGTAGACATCATACCAGATTTCCCTGTTTTTGTCATGACATGCTTATAGAGATGCTTCATCTGCTCATTTGCTTGCAAGTTAATCTCTATATGTCTGGTAACAATAGCTTGAGACTTTCGCCAAGTATTGAATTCAGTGTCAGTGGGAATTACTCGTTCAGCTATCACCTAGTGAAAAAATTATTTAAAGTATAATCAAAGATTAGGGGGGATTTCAGGAAGGAGTAAATTTGTAGGCTATTATATTTTACAGCTTCAAAACTATGCATGAGATGTTTTTAGCCCTTTAGGGTTTAATCTTCAAATACCTGTATCAGGTTTTTAATTAATTTATTTATTATTAGATTAAACATACAAGAGATCCACACACACAAGAGATCCACACACACAGGAGATCCACACACACACACACACACACACACACAAGAGATCCCCACATACAAGAGATCCACACACACAAAAGATCCCCACACACAAGAGACCCCCACATAGAGATCCCCACACACAAGAGATCCCCACATACAAGAGATCCACACACACAAGAGATCCCCACATACAAGAGATCCACACACACACAAGAGATTCCCACTTACAAGAGATCCATACACACACAAGAGATTCCCACATACAAGAGATCCACACACACACAAGAGATTCCCACTTACAAGAGATCCATACACACACAAGAGATCCACACACACACAATAGATTCCCACATACAAGAGATCCATACACACACAAGAGATCCCCACGTACAAGAGATCCATCTTCTTCTTCTTTACGTCTGTTTTAACCACTTCCGGTGTCGAAAGTGATATAAGGTCCTGCTTTGTGCTTTTCTGGCTACTTTGACCATACATTGTGGTACTCTAGAGTTTCTATGATGTTATCTTTACGTCTTGTTCTTTGTATACCTCTTGCTCTACGTCCCTCTACTCTTTTGGTGCATACCTTGTATGGTATAGCATCAGAAGGCATTCTTTCCAAGTGGGCAAACCATTTAATTTACTATCTTTGTATTTAATGTAGAATTGGTTCTGTGCGGATTTGATCTCTTATGACCTACTTTCTGATTGTATCTCTTCTGGTCACTAGTACAGTCTTTCTCAGTCACCTCATTTTCATGGTTACTAATTTTATGTTTTGTTGTGAGTGACCACGTCTGGCACAGATAGCATAGAGTGGGAATGAATATGCTTTCTATGAGATGTCTCTTTGTGCTGACTGGGATTGCTTTATGCTGTAAAAGGGGGACTAGCTGTCCCAATACTTAACCAGCTTTACTGCATCAAATATCAATTTTTTCGTCCAGTTTACCAACTTCAATTGAATGTTGTTCCAAGATATTAAACCTCATATGAAGGTTTAATATATGTATGCTCTAATACTATATTTAAATTATGTTTCTTTCTTCATGCTGACTTTACTGATGCCTTTTCGATGTTAATTCTCATATTATTTGATTTACATTCTTCATTCATGGATGTGAGATGCTGTTGCAAATTCATGACTGTAACTGCAATCAAGACCAGGTCATCAGCAAAGAGTAAGTCGTTGATGTTACTATTATTTTCATTCCTGTGCCTTGTCTCCTTGCTTATCTGTCGATGTAGGTGAGCATCAGAAGTGGTGATAAGACACAGAATCATACATACACAAAAGATCCACACTCACCAAAAATACACACTTACAAGAGATCTACACATACAACACTTCCACACATTCACAAAAGATCCACACATACAAGACAAGAGGTCTACACATATAAGAGATTCATACACACAAGAGATCCACACACACACACACACAAGTGATCCATGCATACAAGTTAACCACATACACAAGATTCACATATTCAAGTTATGACAGTTTCAAGAAAGTGTCCGAAGGTTACCTTTATGATGACATTAGCCTTGCCCTGTGTTAAAGTCAGCTCCACTTTCTCATTGACACTGTCAAAGTTGTAAGTTCCTTTGGATTCCTTCTGTTCCCCATCAGCATGGACAAACCGGATATCCCCATGAATTTCTGAACAAAGACAACAATGGAATGGTTGATTATAAAAGCTTTTTGACTGTTCCTTAAAATGCCCATTTTTTTGCACTCCTGGATGTATATTTAAATGTTGAATGTTGAAGCTGGCCACGTGAGTTCCAGAGTCCCCTTTTGGGAGAAAACAGAATATCACTGTCTGTTAACGGGCATGTTATAAAAGGGGCTAATTATACATTTGATGAAATCAGATGTCCTGGGAATAAAGTTGCAGATATAGCAGTCAGCTGTAAACCACAAGACAATGTGCAAATCACCTTTTCAATGGCTAAAGCTGAAAAAGAAGATGGGGATGCTAGCTTTCTAGTCATAAGTTCGAGTTGAGTTGAGTTGAGTCAAGAATTAACATCGCAGCACCCGGGGCATTTCCATGCGTGCTCCGTCCTCATCTTCAGCAGCCAGCACAGAGTTTCAATACCGATGGTACCAGTCACAAGTCTCCTACGTTGGAATCGTTATTGAGGCAGTTAAAAAAAAATGACCTGGGCTTTCACGTCAACCCAGCTTTATAAAAAAAATATATGTACTAGGAAATATTCTGGGAAATAAAGGCGATTGCTGTCAAATTGTTCACATCAGCTGTTGAGTGCCATTGGACCTTAAACACTGGGGACTAGCACCATATGCTCAGCATACCTGAAGGGGAATTGTACCCTTCATTTTGTAAAACGAAAAAAATTTATGATTGTTTATGGAAGAGAAGCAAGCAAGAGAAAGACAACATAATTTGTGGGCATACAATGTTTATGGAAGAGAAGCAAGCAAGAGGAAGACAACATAATTTGTGGGCAAACAATGTTTATGGAAGAGAAGCAAGCAAGAGGAAGACAACATAATGTTTTTATGGAAGAGAAGCAAGCAAGAGAAAGACAAGATAATTTGTGGGCATACAATGTTTATGGAAGAGAAGCAAGCAAGAGGAAGACAACATAATTTGTGGGCAAACAATGTTTATGGAAGAGAAGCAAGCAAGAGAAAGACAAGATAATTTGTGGGCATACAATGTTTATGGATGAGAAGCAAGCAAGAGGAAGACAACATAATTTGTGGGCACACAATGTTTATGGATGAGAAGCAAGCAAGAGAAAGACAAGATAATTTGTGGGCATACAATGTTTATGGAAGAGAAGCAAGCAAGAAAAAGACAAGCTAATTTGTGGACATACAATGTTTATGGAAGAGAAGCAAGCAAGAGAAAGACAAGATAATTTGTGGGCATACAATGTTTATGGAAGAGAAGCAAGCAAGAGAAAGACAAGATAATTTGTGGGCATACAATGTTTATGGAAGAGAAGCAAGCAAGAGAAAGACAAGATAATTTGTGGGCATACAACATCGAGACAGGTATTAGACTAGACCTTTGTGGGTGCAACATGGGGGTTGTGGGCTAAGTGTAGTGGGCCTTTCAAACAAAGATGGCACTTGATGTGATGATGATATGATAATTATAAATAAGTATGGTATTTTACTGTTACATTTTTGGACTGGTTTTGTTCCAAAACTTGATTTTGCTTATATATCAATTTTACAGACTTGGCTTTGTATATACAAACCGTTGGGTCACCTGCTTAGGGAGGTAGTAGGTCTAACCCCCTGTCCCCCCCCCCCCCCCTAATTTAATCTGTGACTTGCTACAAATACAAAATGTCTTTCCTGTGAGGGTTGTGGTAGAAGCTATTGCACACTGGTTGGTTTTCCCAGGCATGACTGTCTTCAGTATTGAAGACGGTCATGGTCTAGTGACCCATAATGCTGTTAAGATAGCTCTATATTAATGAGAGTCATCCACACAGTTTTTTGACACAAGACAGGATGCACAAAACAGACATCAACATTAACCTTCATTATGGTGCTCCACATCTACAGTCTGTCTGATGTCTTTGCTATCTACAAGAGCCAGTTTGGACAGTAGAAGACTACTTAGATTTGGCTTCTTCCTCTGTGGCCCTGGACTCAGTTGAACTATTGAACAAAGTAGATAAAATTTAAAACGTTTGATATATTGTTATTATACTGCATAAAAAAAATCAAACTTGAAACCTGCACAATGAATGAATCAAGAATTGGCAACACTGCACTCGAGACCTATACATACAAGCTTCATCCCCCTTTTTCAGTAATCAACAAAAAAGTCGACCTGCTAATAGTCCCAGACACAACCTGATTAAAAGTACATCTTTGTTTTGAATTTTGATACAACGTTGCATTATATCAAGTTTTATTTAAATAAATGTCTCTCAAAACACCAACTACATAGCTCCAGTGACAATTACATCAGCATCTTGATTTTGTTTTCCGACGAGACAATTTATTTTTCGTTACCGCGTTCCCAAAACCTTCACTGTTGACCTCAGGTTATGCATAAAGCTGTAGGAGGAGATAATAGATTATTTCGTTATGGGGACAAAGAATTGTCGAAAGACTGTTCGGAACTACAAAGATATAGGAATAAAAAACAAGTTGGAATTAGCAGTTGTGGGAATAGAAAGAGAGTTGTTGAGAGACTATGGAAGTGAAAAGATATGGGAATAAAAAACAAGTTGGAATTAGCAGTTGTGGGAATAGAAAGAGAGTTGTTGAGAGACTTTATGGGAGTGAAAAGATATGGGAATAAAAAACAAGTTGGAATTAGCAGTTGTGGGAATAGAAAGAGAGTTGTTGAGAGACTTTATGGGAGTGAAAAGAAATGGGAATAAAAAACAAGTTGGAATTAGCAGTTGTGGGAATAGAAAGAGAGTTGTTGAGAGACTTTATGGGAGTGAAAAGAAATGGGAATAAAAAACAAGTTGGAATTAGCAGTTGTGGGAATAGAAAGAGAGTTGTTGAGAGACTTTATGGGAGTGAAAAGATATGGGAATAAAAAACAAGTTGGAATTAGCAGTTGTGGGAATAGAAAGAGAGTTGTTGAGAGACTTTATGGGAGTGAAAAGAAATGGGAATAAAAAACAAGTTGGAATTAGCAGTTGTGGGAATAGAAAGAGAGTTGTTGAGAGACTTTATAGGAGTGAAAAGATATGGGAATGAAAGATTACTGATCAGTGAGGACAATCATGACAACATTGCGGACAGATCCATAGATTCTCAGATCTTTTCTCCCATAGCTCTACAAGCGCAAAAACCACTAATGACGCCAGTTCTGTTGTGATTAATCAGACGACTCTTGCCCTTGGTGCCTTTTGATCTTCTTCGCGATATGCATGTCAATGGACATGAAAAACATCATTACTGCCTATGTCGGGGAAGTCACAGTAATCGCCCTGCCCACAAGATTCATGTGCTCATCGCAGCAGCAGTGGTAGTAACAGATTAGTTGTAGTTGCTGTTGTGGTCGGCCGAGTGGTTACAAATTTGAAAGACAGAAACTGCTAACTGGGGGAGCTTGAAAGATGACTTCACAGTTTTCCTTTTTTTTTTTAAAAATTATTATTTATCTTTTAATAACGCTACCTGGGCTATTATCATTGGCGATTCTATAGGTGTTTTTTTTTTTTTTTTAGATGTACAGTAGTAAACTTTACTTTGAGCTCTTCAAAACGTCCAGACAACTTTAGAATGTGAGAAACAAATAACCATTTTTTAAAGTCCCAATAATCCACTTTAAACGACCTCTAATATAAGGACACAATTATATGTTGCGTGTTCTAGAGTCGGCAAAGTACTCTATCTTTATATCTTTGCAGACAATAATTGTGAAATTAACCAAATTAGACACGTGCGCTTTCTGTTTTTCTTTTCTTTCCCATTTTAGCCAGACTTGGCCAAGGAAACAGAGGCACAGGCTAACCAGAACCACGATGGATACAGGATGTGGGGAAACACCTTAGGTTGGAAAGTACATGATGCGGAAGAGATGGAAGAGACTGGCGCCTCCCCATGTAACATTCCAAAAGACACAAGTGATATAGTGTAGTCCAGGGTTTCTCAACCTGTTCACACCAGCGGCCTACCAAACCGAGGAAAACTGTGTCGCGTCCTACTTGGTATCTAATTAAACCCAGAAACACAAACAAATGTAGAGGCAGTTCATTCGTTGAATCCGATGGCGCAAAACACAATTTTCAGCTAATGCCACATACGTTGCTGCTTTAAAATTTAAAAAAAAAACTCACAAACTTCACTAGAGCGTTGTTTCTTGTAAACGAAGCGCTGCAGCAACATCCATTTTATCGATCTGTTTGCTTTTTATTACCGACAAGGCTGAAATAGTCTTTTACACAAACAGGAAGTCGAAAAAACGGCAAACATTCTGACAGCTCTATAATTCAATAAATGAATATTCATTTCTTGCTAAATGAGTCGTCCATAAACTTTTGGCGGTGCACATAAACTTTTGGCGGCCCACATAAACTTTCATCCGACCCTCCCCAAGTGGACCGTGGCCTGTGGGTTGAAGAACACAGCTGTAGCCAACCTTCACTTTGGAGATGGCACACATTTTGTTTTAGAATGGGATGTAATAAAGCACACAGTAACAGAGGATGAAAAACAGCATATGATTGAGAACACGAAATGTGAAGTAAAGGCAGCCGGCATGATGTTAACCACACCACCCGGCGAAAGGTTTATAAAATAATAGATCCAGCCCTACATGCCCAATAGGCCTGCAAGTGTGGAACAGGGTTCTTTACTTTTTTTAAACTACAGAACACATTAAACAGCACGAAACACATAACTCTTCACCAAACACAGTTTAGAGGTGCTGCTGATCACGTGATGTGTGTGTGGCCAGGAAATCAAGATAAAGGACTATTTTCTACGCCAGGGTCTAAGAATCGACAAAGCACACCGGGCATACCCATAGAAGCCCTGTCTCCCGCAGCAAATGACATAAAGTGTATATGCTAACTGTTCCCGTAGCACACTGATTATACACACGCCGATCTCTTCCTCTCACCAGTCCCTCCTTGCCGGATCCACAACTTATTCCTCGTTCACATATTCTTGCCCACGTTATTTTATCAGATCTCGTGTCTTTT